ATCTATAAACTATGTAAAAATATTAGGAAAATTATAAAATATAATATAGAGCTAAAAATAAATATATACTAATATAGGAAAAAAAATAAATTCTATTACAATATGTACCTAATTATACACTCTTTTTTTAATAGTTTTTTACAAAACACATTACCAAAAAAGCATTAATAAAAGTCAAAAGACCAAAAAGGTCATCTTAATATCAAAAAAAAATTAAATAAAAAAATAAATTTATTATAAATTTATTATTTTTTTAATATGTATATATTTTGAAGTATTCTTAGGTTATTTTTGTTTTTTATAATTTATTTTTTAATTATTTTAATTATTTTTACTATAATTTAAATAATTTTTTTATTTTATTTGCTAAATAAATTTCTTAATTACTTCTATATATTAAGTAACATTTTTGCTTAATTTACATATTTATTATTAAAATATCTAAAATCTAGTTAACAATATGCAGTAGTATTAGTAAATATTTAAAAAACTGGATTAAAATTACCAATAAGCTATAGTAATAATAATATCAGTAATAGTTGTAATGATTTTAAGTTAAACCAAATTGAATTTTTAAAAAAATTGGGAAAAAAAAAAAATTTATAATTAGTATATATATATGTTTAGCTATTTTTTTTATGTATACGTATCCATACATATTTGAAATAGTGCATCTTGGATATCTTAGAAAATTTAAATACGTACGTACATACATATGTACGTACATGTACTTGGCGTGCGTGAACGTGTTACATAGGCAAATCTTAGAACAATGTCAACGATTTCAATTTTAGAATGTGGCGGATGTTAGCGTTAGTCATTTTCGAAAGTCAAATCTAAATTCAGCAATACTTAAACGCCAAGTGCACCATGCATCAATTCATCTAACAATAAACATCTTGCGCCGGATTTACAATCACAGCCACTCACATGCGAAGTTTTTTTTCGTTGGTTGCCAAGCTAAATAAAATGTAGTATGTCTAACTAAACAAGGATAAGGGTCGTACGTACGTCTTATCTATTTCTTGCGCAATCTCTCCTGAATCATACGATCATGCTATACTTGATTAATCTTTAATTTAGTGTGTGTGTGAATTATGCCTATTTCCAGATAAGTAAATGTTTATTACGCCTTTCTTGCGTTAGTTTGTCGTTTTCTATTGCGATCACATCCACAGGGTTGGGATCGGGACTTAAATTGAGGGACCTTGTGATGAACTTTTTCTATACTGTGAATGGTGAATTTGTAGATCCCTTTCTATGGAAACAGTCAAATTTGGGAAGATCGTCAATCAGATCTCTTCAGATAATCGACATTCTATGAAACCACCTTCTGCGCACTAATAAAAAAGATTCCACGCAGAATTTTGATAGAAGGTAAGCTCTATTTCGGTCATAACTCTAACCCTAGAGTAAGGTTTTATTACTTTAAAAATTCGATCGTTTTGATTAGTATAGATTATCTGATTGGTGCATATTGTCGATCTTTCATGGTCCTACTGGGGGTAGCTATATAGTTGTTATCCGAAACCCGAAACCGAAGCCCGAAACCCTTTCCGAAACTCTAACACTATACTGAAAGGCTTAGAAATTTAATTTTAAACTTTAAGACTTAAGGTATAAAATAATTAGATTGCATTTCAGGAACATTTGGTTACTTTATAGTAAATGTGCATTAATTATTAAATTTCTAATTTGAAAGTTTCGGAAAGGTTTCAGGTTTCGGGTAACAAGTATAGGTAGCTATCTCCAAACAGCGGGTACAAAGCTGTTCCTGCTTGGATCTTGATCACAAGAAAATAGAGACACATCGCGAATAAAGTCATCTTCTATTTTTGTTCAAGTAATTATTTTATTATAGGGGATTGGCATATGACAAGCACAAAATTGTTAGCATAAAAATCGAAACTGTGAACGTATGTTAAAAACTCGAGTCAACCTTAGAAGTCAATTCAGGTGTTCTCCTTAATGACTAATTGTGATGTTTAAGAACACCTTTAAAGTCGACTTAAAAACGATTACAGTCTAACCTCTCGATGATCACACTGTCAGGATCATAGCAACTTTTTTTAAAAAAAAGTGCTTATAGAGTTGTACTTATATAGAGCTTTTTTCTATATGTTTATAATAGTTGGTTTTAGAATAGATGTGCTTATAAAGGGAATTTTTATATTACATGCTTATATGAGAGGTGACTATAGTGAGGTTCGACTGTAATCGGAGCCTTTTAATATTTGTCAAAATATGATTCAAATAAATATTAATACGTGTAGCAACTTGTATATAACAAAATCTTACATTAAATAGGGTCTTAGTTTATTATATAAACAAAAATCATAACCAGTGTTAATTTTTCAGTAAAATTTACTGTGCGGCATCCGCAAAAGAAGGTGTGCGCAAATTTTGATTCTGTGTGCTGCGCACAGTCCGCACAGTGAAAAATTATCACTGGTCATAACCAAAGTAATTTAAGACCGAACCGATACAAATAAAAAAATATGTATAAACAAATAAATAGATGTACAAAATGAACATGGTTATAATATATCAAAGTTATTACAATACACTATAAAAAAACCCAGCTACTCGAGGTATAATAAACCATATATATACAGTACTTCAACCATTTAATAAGCCAAAGCACTCTTAATAATAGGATCATTTTCTAACTCGTTAGGATCCACAAAGGTTGAAAAAACACCATCTGGTATCCCCTTCTTTAGATTGTTTAATCTCTCGTGAAACATTTCTAATGGGGTTCTCATTTTTTGTTTCTCAACCGGTTTGTCATGGGAATCAATATCTACATCCGATGGTACATCATGTTTATGCTCAGGAAGGGCACTTGAACTAATTGACGTATATATCGAAGACATTTCTGTATGCAACTTCTTCATCAAACGATTAGATAAACTTTGTTGACGTTTCAACTTTTGTGATTCATGTTCATCACTTTCGTGTTCAACATTTTCTTGTTCATGTTCTTTGTCATTCTCTTCTTCTTCTTTTCCTTCTGGGCTTGAATAATAATCTTTAATATATTTATAGGTCGATGTGAATGTTTGTGCATAAGATTGATATGGTGATTGTGCCGGTTGGTGTTTTATATGTTCTGTAGTTACGTCCCTGACAAATATACGAAGAATTCGATCTGGATTCTCTCGATAAATTGTTGAGTAACTGAATCGTTGTTAAAATATATAAAAATCAAAGTTAATATGAGTTCAATCAAAAATAACATTAATTTTAATTTGACAGTTTACATTTCTGGATCATATTCTCCCGTGTCGCCGACAAGAATAAATTTGCGTTGAGGGAAATCCTTTAAGATAAAAAAGTTAAATAGTTATGATAATTAAAAGTAAACGAGAAACTTAAGTAAATGAGATGCTTACTCTAAGAAGTTCTCTTATGTATACGAATTTGCTTTCCATAGGGTGTTGTTTTTGTTCACGCGCACTCTTGAACAAACCATCATAAAATTTAAGATGTGCAGAACCAGGAGGGAAATCAGATTCATCGAAGAAAGCTCGTAACATCGGGAATAATTGCCAAGGAGAATTGGACACGTAATGAATAGCCACACCTCTGTCATACTAATGTGGAAATAATTTTAATAGTTTATTTAAAATTTTTATTAAATGAGTTTTCAATTAATAAATTAATAATCACCCATTTATGGTATAGTTCGGGCATTCCTGGAACCTTTTAAAAAGAAATCGTTAACATTAAATTCACTTATTTGCACATATGTACAAAAGAAACGAACATACCTCTTTGGTCTTTTGTAAAAACGTATTAGAAAAGACGGTTCTCGCGCCTTCTAAGATCTCAGTTTGTTTAATCGTGTCATCGATATCCTAAAATAAAATTCAAAAGTTGATGATCTAGAAGCCTCAAAATAATGGGAATAAGTAATGTATGTATAAAATTTACCGAAATTACAGAGTATCCATCAGGTTCGACCAAATTAACCACACAATAAGTTGGTTTAACAAATGGATTAACTAATCAAAATTGCATAACGATAAAATGAATATGTAATTATAAGTATCATATCGTAAATAGGTATATATGACTTACTGCTGTTATGTTGACGTGCTTCAAGTTTAAGCAATTTAATTTTTCCGCCTTTATGTTGTTCTTTTTCTTTCTCTTGCCCTTTTCCAAATATTCCAAGAACTCCTTCAATGAGTGATTTTTTTTCTTTACCGGTTGGTTTACCAATCCATTCGTTAACTATTGCTTGTTGAATTGAAACGTTTCCGTTGACATTGCCGGTATGAGGTTTAAAAATCGTAAAAGGGTTATTGTCATCAGGTTGTTGGTGTTGTTCCGCAATTTTGTCCTTAATCTCTTCGTTCACATTATTCAATATCTTTTTTGGATCTTCTTCGGACTCTTTAGAATCACCTTCAATGGCCATCTTATCAGAAGCGGTTAACCCGGCTACTTTAACTATGAACTCTTCTTTGTCTACGTTGCTCGCCCAGAACAAGTTAGACCGTGTTTTGAGGAGTTCATATCTAGCATCAGCTTCGCTAATGCCTACGATGCGTGACGCGAGCCCTGAGATTGTTGACCAATTTCAACAATTTAATTAATAAGTTTTTTTATTGATTTATCATCATTTATTTTATTTTAGTTTTTTTTTTTTTTTTTTTTTTTTTTTTTACCTATAAAAAGGTCACGGCTTCTACTTGTTTTCGGTGCCGAGAATGCCCAACCTCGAACACGGATATTCCAATTGTCGGTTATATCAGGATTTTTTGATTCATCTGAAAAAATTTAATTTATTATATTGATATACTGAAATTGTTTTATATTGAATACAATATTTTATTTCGATAAACATAAAAATACACTACCGAGACTATGCTTGGTAGCATAAGTAGGAAAAAGCAAGCAATGTTGTTCATATTCTTCTTCATCGGCCTTCTCCTCCAGCGAAGGTACATCGACATTAGCTGTAGACATTGCACTGGTCTTAATGAATTTCAACTGTTTTAAAAAAAAAAGAGAATTCAATGACCTGAATAATGTACGATGCATTCTTATAGCATTTAAAACAATTGTGAGTTTTCGTGTAACTGGTCATTTTTCTTTTTGGAAAAAGCCTTGTCCAAAGCAAATATTTCCAATTTGAGAGCATATTGTGTGTGGCTTTCGTTCACCGTTACACCTTGCAATCTAATCTCTTTGTAATCAGAGACTAATTAGGACTGTTACGCGATCGATGTCACCGGACTATTTCTGAGTTAAGAATATATTTATAGAGTTTAAATGCATATCAATAGAAAAAAGAAACTGTCTATTTCATCGTCATTTAAAAATTATAGTCAAAAGTATATATATATATATATATATATTTGTCATTTGTCAAATCAAGATTTTTATTTGAAACAAACAAATGAAGTTAAAAGTCGAGGGTTTGTCCAAATTAAAGCCGGATGGAACTTATTTATTTAAAAATATTTCGAAAACAGTGTATGATAATGAAATTTTAACTATTTCTGGTCCAAGCGGTGTAGGGTAATATTTCAACACCGACAGTTCTTTATCAATGCAATTTAGGATATTATTACATACTTTGTTTTCTAAGGTAAAAATTATCCTTATAAAGGAAAACTACGTTGTTGAAATGTATCTCCCAATTGGCAGTATATGAAGAAGGTGCCATGTTCCTAGACGACAAGTATGTGATCTATCATGAAGATCTAAAGTGAATAAATTTGACCCGATCGATTTTAAGTCTGTTAATTTAGATCTCCCGAAGAATATGGAATTCCAAATTGGAGAACTCGCATCATGTATGTCCCACAGAGAGCTCGTATGTAAATTTTTTTTTTTCTTAATACGTAATTTCGTAATGAACAATCGTGCAAATTGTGCATCATGACATTACTACACGAATGATATTACTACATGACATTACTACACTATATGATATACTATATGACATTACAATATACTTAATAGCCATAATGCAAGGCACACCATTGGAGTTTTATGAAAAGTTACGAATGTTTAGCTCGCAGCAAAAGAACATGTACAAGCACGAAGATCCGGTAATGTTGTTATTTTGTATATTATCATAAGAACTGCTATATATCAAAAGCATTCTAATCATGCATTTTTTATAATAGGTTGAAATAGCTGAACGGTAAATAAAAATAAAATTAAACATTATTCTTACAGTGATATTTGATTACGTTTTATTTTCATTAGATGGAATGTCAATAGAGGCTTATGGGACAAAAATTGGAACCAATTATCAGGTGGTGAAATACAGCGTATTTCGCTAGCCATTGCTCTATCGTGCAAGCCACAAATATTACTTCTTGATGGTATAAAAATTCATTATTTTTTTTAATTCTCATTTCAATCTACACAATAAATGTTATTAATTGACCCTTTTTTCTTTTTGAAATTATTAAGAACCAACATCGGCACTAGATCCTACAACTTGTCTTTTGGTCGAAGCTACTCTTAAAAAATATACTTGTATTTGGGTTACGCACAATATGGATCAGGAAAACCGTGTAGCCACTCATCGGTTAACGTTGAGTCCTTACATAGACGAAGACGTGGATGAATCCGAAAATATACTGATAGATATTTAGATGTTTCTCATGTATATTATATTTAAACATTGATAGTATACTAATAAATAAATAAATAAATAAAATAATAATAGGTTTTTTAACATGAAGTTGCGAGTTTTTTCCTTAGATGTTAGCATCAATATTCATGAAATTTGTTAAAGTTTGGTTTTATTAGTTATTTCATTATCAAATAACGAGATTCCTGTAAGTTGCTCCAATTCTTTGATTGCTTTTTCTGATCCACCTAATTCAACCTCTATAAATTAATACATTAATCGGTATGAATATATTGTATATGTGAAATATTTGTATAAAGAATCCTTACTGATAGTTCGCATCCCTAAATTCAATGCTGTTTTTAAATTCCTAAACACAGAATAGTTGATGGAAATTTTTTGAATGTTACGAATACATGTTATAAATATTATAGTATGAACAAATATAATTACATACGCTCCAATATCATCAAGGAAAATAGCCTCTTTAGGTTCAATTCCTAACTTTTCACATGCATATAAAAATATCCTTGGATCCGGTTTTCTAAGAAACAAAATTCATATTCAATAATTCCATCAGTTCTAATACAATTTTCCTAATAACATCACATACCTCAGTCCAATAACACTAGACTCAAAATATTCATCAAATAAACACTTCAACTCCTGAAGTATATTACCACCAAATAATTCGATTTCTTTTAAATCATCTGTTGGCATTAGAAAATTATTTGTCAAAGCTGCTAGTTTAAATTTATTACTTGAACCAAGCTTTTTAAGTGCAGTGAAAACGACTGGGTCGATTTTTATAGATTCTGACATCATTGTTTGAAATAATAATTTGCCATCTATTGATATTTGATCTGGAATTTGAGGTAGCGCAGTTTCTTTTTATGCAGATGAAACAGATTAAAATAGTTTTTAGACATTGAAATTTAATAATAAAATGAATTTAAAATTTTGGCCTTACTTCCACGTAATTTGTGATATTGTATATAATGTTGTTTATTAATTGGGTTTGATAGTTCTTCACTGAATACTTGATAAAATTCGTTGAGCAAAAGTTCTCCACGTTCTAATCGCTATTTTTAAAATAATCAATCAAAAAGATCTGATTAATTAAAAATCACTGTCAATTTCTTTTTTTAACAAACCTGAAAAGCGCCATTTTCACCATTTTTCAAACTTTTAAAAAAACAATTTGAATAAGAAAAAAATCAAAGATATCAAAAAAATGACCATTTTTTTTAGTTAAACCCACATTATAACGTTTATATAATTATGAGGCAAATTATGTTCTTTTTCGAATTTCATTATTCCTTCAAAAGGAGAGCCAACACACACACCGCCTATATCGAAAATAATAGCTTTGTAAGTCATCTACTTGGGGAGTTATAAAAAGAGATACGAATTTCAAAAATATTTGAGGATCTGTTGAAACAACGACTTTATCACAAGACGATGATCGTGTGATTTAATTAATTAAAAGAGCACATCATTAATAATTAACAAAATCGAATCCGACAAAACCGAGGACTACAAAATTTTATTATTTCGAATCTATAAATTTAAGATTTCCCGGTCCTACTAGTTATCCCACTCTATATATACGAATTTATGTATAAAATATATACTTGAAATAAACTTTATAGTTCGTTCGAATAAGCATTCGAACCAGATATAAATAAAATGTTTCGTTTTCTTTTATAACAAAATAAAATGAATAAGCCGATGGCTAAAACAAATAGAAAAGATAAAACTGTAGTCGATGCTATTAATGCTATATTAGTGTCAGGGTTAGTGTTAGTATTATTTGAAGCAGAAGGTTCATCAAGTTTATATTCGCTAATCCATTTATAATCAAATTTGTTACTTGTATCTAAAATATATACTTCATTCATTGTTGGAGATGGTAAATAAAGATCGTTTCTTCCAAAAACTACAATCATATAATGATTAACCAAAGTAGCAGAATGATAGCAACGTGAAGGAGGGGAGAGGGTAGAAACATTTGCTTTTGACCAAGTAAAAACAGATCCTTCGGTATCTAACACCACAAGATCGTCTGGAACTGGAACCAACGTATTTCGATCAGTATAACCTCCATATACAATAATACGACCGTCTTTTGCTATATATATATAAATATAAAAAGTTATTTTATAAAAAATATAAATAGCATTATCTGTTATATCAAAATTTCTTTAATTACTTAGAACAGAGGAATGATGTCCTCGAGATGTAGGCATATAACCTGTAGTAGTCTAATATATGTAAATACCATTACAGCATTAATTAATTCACATAATAACCAAATTTAACATTAAACATTCATTATACTGTTAACAAGTCGATACTGTCTAAATGCATAATATATAATTATTGCATGCGTAGTATGAAATAACGGATTTATTCTATTTTAGCTTATGGAATAATGCATAATATTTAAATTAATATTTTTTAGAAAATTTTTAGTAATATGCATTTAGGTAGTTAGTTTTCTGATATTTGATTAGTTAATTCTATATAAATGATTTTTTTTTGTCTTTCTTGATGGTATGCATTTAGACAACAAAAGACTTTATGAAAAATAAAATAAGTTTTACCGTTACAACGAACTTTAACATTGAAATGCTTTTCAGTGATTGGTTATTTATTCGTACTATATGACCCAAATGACGAATGACTAGTTATCGAGTTATTTGAAGTCTAAATGACATAGAATGTCATTTAACATACAGTGGCAATCATAAATAATGCAACAAAAAATAATTTTAGTTGGATCGTATTATCTTGCGCAATTCCGGGCGTATCTGTCTATTTTTTATTTTTTTTTATACGCAAATAGCATCTTTTGCTAAAGCGAAAATAATCACGTGTGTATCACAAAACATGTGTTGCATTATTTTTGATCGTTTTTGACAAAGATCAGATGGCACAATTTGCAAATAAATATAAATATGTAAATTTTTTTGTTGATTTTGCATCTTGTATAATGTTAGCACTTATTGATAATCAAGAAAACAAAAAAAAAAGAATTAAACAATATCTCTTAATAAGTTCAAATATTGTTTTTGTTTTAAAAAAGATATATTACAAGAGTTATAGGTTAGGTTTACAATATTATTTATTTTATGGTCTTATATATCAAAAAAAAATGATTAGTAAATTGTTTTTTTAAAGATTTAGAAAGGGTTGGTTATCTAATTTTATTAAGTAAACCAATCAAGAAAAGAATAGTAAATCTTATTACTTCTTATTACTGTTCTACTGCTATTGAAGTAAGAATACATCTCAAAATAAATGAAAACATAGAAATTTCTGTAATAACTATTCATTAAATATTTTATAGTCACAATTTGATATCAGAAATTAAGAAAAAAAACTTATATATGAATGATAGTCATTAAAAACAACATATTAAATTTATAAAAAATATTAAAATTAAATTATTAAAGACTAATTTAATATAATTTGGTTTAATAAGTCATAATTTTAAATTTTTTTTTTTTTATTATTATTTTTTAACAATCTTATTAAAGTTTAAATACAAAATTTTATTAATTGAAAGATTATCTATTTCTAATAATTCATCTTTTGTAATTACAAGTCTAATATCATCCAAGTACAGAAACTGCACTCAAATGTGACTTGTCGCATCAATTTATGCCTAAATTGGAAAATTTTATCAGCTCTGTCAAGAACTAAACTAGAATAAGTTAATCCTATTCTGTACTAATTTATTGACTCCTTCACTAAACAACTAAATACATTCTACTTCTCTCTCCTTATCTTTATCAACTTTAGTCTTATTTGATATGCTTTCTTTGCTTCCTTCTTTACTTTTGATTTTCTTTGAATTGTAACTTTTATCTTTTTTTTTCTTTGATTTGCATTACTTTGCTTTTAACATTATTTTATTTTCTTCTTTCTATTTGGCTACTGTCTTATATCTTCTCTACTATACTTCTTCTCTAAATATCTTTTCTATAATCTTGATATATAAATTTACAAACTGCCTTACACTTTTTTGTAAAACTTGTTTTGTATAGAATTCTTTAAATATACTTTCTATCACTAGGTCACATATATAGGACTCTTGATGCCTAACCTTATCTATTTTGGTTTTGTCAACTAATATCTTGTTTAAGTCAAATTTTGGTATCTTACTTTTATCCATCTTATCAAGTTTTTTCTATACTAACCAACATGTCAATTTTTCAATATTGCTTCAATAACTACTATATTCTTTATATCTAAGTAGGTAAATTGATGTTTCTTGATTTGCATAATACTCTTTGCATTCATCTGACTCATATAAGTCTGGTGCTCTCTTCTTTAATATATCAAAAACTGGTAAACTATTACTTATATACTTAATTCTAAATAATATCTTCTTATTTGTTTTTAGTGATTTGTATTTGATTTCTGTTAAACTTCTGTTTTTTTTCTATAATGTTTTTTAATCTTTTTGTATTTCAGAACTTGGTTCAAATTCTTTAGTTATACTTAAGTATCATTACTTAGCACCATTCATCATATTTATTATTATCTTAACAAATTTCTTTATAGATGCTTCTATAACTAATTCTTTCTAGTATAATGTATATAAAAATTAGCTGTTTCTTTTAAGTTTCAAATCTGAGTATTTACTTAATAATGTCTTTTTTTTTGCAAGTTTATTAGCTTTTTCATTCTATACTACTTCACTATGTGCTTTAATCTTATTTAATACTAATTTGATATTTTTTGATCTGAACATGTCCTTAATCTTTATTACTAATCTAAAGTTCTTAATCTTGCTTCATGCTCTAATATTACACAAAGACTTTCTATTTTCTAGACTTGTAATTACTACTATACTATAAAGTTTAATTACTACTTTATTGTTACAAACTATAACTAAAACTGTCATTCATATCATAGTTCCTCTGTCTTTGTTGATAATGACTATTTTTCTAATCTAATTTTACTCTTTATTATAATTTTCTTTTTGTCTTCACTAATTTGTATTCAACTTACTTCTATTTTATATTCTTTTTCTTCTTTCACTAGTGACCCATCTGTATAAAACTTATACTTTATATATTTATTTATAATATTTTTTTCTAACTGTTCTAACAACAAATTCTCTAAACAATTACTAAAACCTTGCATCTTTACTAAACTAATTTTATAACAGTATATCATTATCTTTCTATTTATAGTTCTTTTATTGCTTATAATATCTTCTTCTATATAATTTTTTTTGTATCCTCTTAGTTCTTCAAGCAATACTAGAACTTTCTATTCATATTCTTGTCTTATTATTGGCAGTATACCTACTATTGCATTCTTTTTAATCTAACATTAACAACTGCTTGAACTGCTACTATCATTTAAATTGCATTTCTTATATTTTATAATTATTGAATAGCTTCCTTTTTCAACTTGTAATATGTTCCAATAACTTATTAATATATTTTTCTTTTTCTTTTTAACTACTTTGCCTATTATTGATTTAGAGTTTTTTTTGTTTATTAATATTTATTCTTGTCTTCTTTTGTCTTGTAATAACTTCTTGGTCTCAATATTCATTGTCATAATGTTTGTTTTTGTATTTGGAGTTCAGCTTGAAGAGTTCTTTCTATTTGATTACTTAACATCTTTTGTTTTATTTCAGCAAACCATTTTGCTTTTTATTCTTTTTGTGTACTTGTTTATAATACTCTAAACTTTTTCTATATAATTATTTTTTTCTCTTCTTGATCTATTAACTGTTGTATAAAAAATAGTCTACATTTTATTCATATTCTACAAGCCTTCCTGTATGTTTTAGTTTTTACTAAACTCTGCACAGTTTTACCTGTACTAGAAACTTGCCAAAGGCCACCTTTTGCCTTTATTCTTATATCTATTTCACTTGCTCTTAGTAGTACTAAGCATGTTAAATTTTTTTTTTAGATCTTTTTTAAATCACTTGCATATGCTGTACTTATCTTTTCTGTTATTAATATTATTAGAATAAAGCTTTGTTTTATGCATATCTTTGTTACTTCACTAACTTGACATAACTTATTTAGTCTTCTTTGTAAAAAAACTAACTAATTATTAAATACTTCTTAACTCAATATTCTACATCTTTCTAAACCTTGATATACAATTATGCTATTTTCTGCAGTTGCTTGCAGACCTATTTTATTCTTGATCAATCTAATTACTAGCTAATGCAAATGATTTATATACTCTTTAGACATCTTTGTTGTCTGCAACATGTATACCAGTTTTGGTATTATACACATATTATTAATATATATTAATTAACTAATGATTAATTTCTTAAATTGTAAACTTTGCATAAATTACTACATAATATTTTTCATCTTTTTAACAACTAATCTCTCATTTGCCTCTATACTTAACCATACTCCTAATATTCTTATTAATGCATATTTTTCTTCAACATGCACTTGATATTTATCTATCAACACTAATCTTTCTTCTTTTCTTATATTTGGGTTAATTATTAACAACTTTGACTTAGCACTATTGATTTAAATATCATTGAACTTAAAGAATCTTTGTGAGATCTGTGTAATCATATGCATCTTCTTCTTGCTTTTTGCTATCCAGGTTGTATTATCAGTATAGGCTACTGCAGCTTGTTTCATTTTTCTTATTTTAATTCTATTTATTTATAAATCTAATACTTCATATGCTTTATTCTTATATCCTAAACTTGACATATCTTAAATTCTTCTTAAAAGTGAATCATAAAATATTCATCATATTAATAAAGAAATTGTTTCTTCTTATTCAATTCTATCACCTACAACAAACATCTTTGTAGTCCCAAATTCTGTTATAATGCTAATATCTCTTCTATTATAGAGCTTCAATATAAACTTTATTATTTTTTCTGGTAACTTAATTCTTTATAATGCCAAGTAAAATAACCTTATTAATACTAAATTGAATATCTTTTTTATATCTTGCATTAATAGTCACAACTTCTTATTACTCTCTTTAGCATCTTCTTTTAACATTTCTACTATGTGAATTGCTTTTTTTGATAAGTTTCTGATAACTTAGTGAAGTTTGATCCTTTAAGTATTTCCTTTTCTGCTATTATTCTAGATATTTTTTTTGCTATTATCTTAGTTAAACACTTTCTAAATATCTCTAATAGTGCAATTGGCCTAATGTTACAGAAATTATAACTTCAGTCTTCACCTTTTAAAATTGGATATATTTGCATTAGCTTCTACTTATATAGTATTTTTCT